TGCATCCCCTTGTCGAAGTCCTTTACCGGTGCGAAATTCTTCTGATCTGTCACCATTCACTCTAACCATACAACTCACATCCTTCATGGTAAGCTTTATCAAACGTATAAGTTTCTCAGGTATGTTAAATTCTCTGAAAGCACTATACAGTTCTTCGCATATTCTGCTGTCATATGCTGCTCTGAAAATGATGAACAGATGGTGAGTTTTGGTTTTATACTCATGGCCTCTTTCAAGAATGGTTCGCACACAGAACATCTGGTCAGAGGTGGATCTTCCTTTCTTAAACCCACTCTGGAACAGACCGAGCTCATGTTCAGTATATGGCAAAATACGTTCGAACAGAATATGAGATAGTATCTTATAGGCACAAGACAGCAACGAGATACCTCGATATTTGCTGCACAGCAACATATCACCCTTTTTATGAATACTACACATAATTGACCAGAAAGTGGTCCGAATCTACGTTTACTCCTCTGAATGTTCTCAAATTTTGTAAACTGCTTCTAGGGCATCATCCTATTAGAATATGGTCGATCTGGTGGACAACTGACCAGTCGGGTGACGTCCATGTGCCCTTGTGGATATTCTTATGGGGATACTGAGTACTCCCTGTCATTAGGTTCCTGGACTCTGCGAAATTAATGAGCCTTTGTCCATTATCATTATTTCCAATTATCCATTTGTTTCCATACCACCTCCTCATTTGTTTATTGGTACTAATGATATGTTGGATCTAATTCACTCTAATTGGAAACAAATGGTTCCAAACATCCATTTCCAATTATCTGCTGGTATATTGCTTCTTTTTCCAGTTTCGCATTAAAATCTCCAGCAATTATTTTCATGTCATACCTATGGTATGCATCCAGAGTTATTTCCAATAGTTTATAGAAGGCATCCTTGTCATTTTCACTAGACAGCTCTGTGGGAGCATGTACACTTAGGAGGCTAGAATTGTAAAACTTTCCACGCATTCTTATGAGACAGATTCATGGGCTCACTGGTTTAAATCCTACTATTAATTCATGCCAACTTTCATGACAGCTATTGTAGATGGAGTGGACCAGTCCATCTGATCTCCTGGATAGCACCTATGTCAAGGTGATCTAAGAGCAGTTTTAATGCTCCGGGTCTATACAGAGAATCCTATGGGGGATGTCAGGTCGTTTTCCTTATGTGCTATGCTCAGAAAGTGGTCCGAATCTACATTTACTCTAATATATAGAGAGAATGTATTCCAATATTCGAAGTAAAGAATCCTATGGGGAGGTGCTGGGTCATTCTCCACATGTGCTATGCTCAGAAAGTGGTCCGAATCTACATTTACTTCTCTGAATGTTCTCACATTTTGTAAACTAAAGAATCCTATGAGTAATGTAAGATTACATAATATAAGAATCCTATAGGGGGTGCCGGGTCGTTTTCCTTTAAGACTGATCATGTCCGAGGCTGGTATGGGTTTCACGATAATTTATGTTTCAGGCAGTGGGGCTATTCACCATCTCACCATATCCTTGTCTGCTGAAGGGGCTGCAATCTCAATGCATGTAGACCTGCTTCCCCGTCCGGGGCTGCTTCCTAGGGAAGGTGGCCCTATGGTATATACTGTATGTCTCTTTGTGTAGAGTGTGCTGTGATTGTATACTGTATGTGTGTGTGTGTGTACTGTTTCCCCAACCTGGAGGGCCAGTGGCTGACTGCGGTACAATGACCGGCCGGTGAGATCGCCACATCCCTACGCCAAGATGCCAGTTTACTTCAGAACAATGTACGTCATCTTTGAATACAAATTGAATTTGTCCCTTTTTCACTCCTCCATGGCGTCCTTCTTCCAATAGTATGGCTGAGAGAACAGTTCAAACTTTCAAGAAGTTATTATTATAATTCCAGGATCCTGACATTCACATGCAAGTTACACACATTGTGGGCCATGAGAACTTGTCCATCAAGTACAATTGGTAAGACACTAGCATAATTAAGGAGCCAAAAATTGTTTACATACCTTTCACATATTTCACAACTTCATACAACAGTACATACTGGATCTGTAATCAGTATCATGGGCCCAAAATTCACAATTAGTGAAACGGTGTGGATCCTGAAGTATAATCTCAAAAAGAAATATTAGGTTGGAGGTACATACATAAAATCATTGTTGCACAGATTTTTGATGATTTACTCAGGTGAGGTAATTAAACATATTTCCATAGACTATCTTTGAAAACATTATTCCAAAGAATCTATTGAAAATTGTTTACCTTCAATCTCACTCAATGACTTCTAATTAGAGTGAATTAGATCCAACATATCCTTAGTACCAATAAACAAAAATATATTCATTTCTCACAACCCTTCATCCTTTGCTGAGTCAAGGGATCATCAAAATGATTCACAAATAGATTTAGATAATACTCTCCATAATAAGTTCTCTGCAGAAGAGAAACCAATTGCTCCACCTTCGAGCACCAGTACCAGCATAGAAATTGATGTTACTCAAGGAGAAAAGGAACCCTTGACTCCTTCATCAAGTGAAATGAATCATCCTTCAGCACAAAGTGAGAGTCCTCCCTTCTATGGGTTCATGGAAGATTGTGGTCATCCTAGATGCAGATCTATTTACAGCCAGTCTCAGCAGCTTACTGTAACTAGATTTGCTAGAATCTCCTGACCACCTCCTCATTTCGGTGACACTTTGATGAGTATAAAATGACATTGGTCCTATCATTATATAATACTTATAATATTAATACTTGTAGCACGTATCGTTCTGTCCATATGTGCTATTGTTTGCAAAATGAACAGTTCATTCCTAGGGAGAGGGGTGTCTATGAGAGATGGATATATAAATATTTTTTCCTAGCAAAATTGTGAATGGTATGGCTCTGTTAATTTCTGTTGTATATTCAATTTTCCAGCTTCCTTCTTTCATTCGTATTCTATTATATTCATCATGTTTCTACAATTGTAAATTGATTGTTGCTCCTCTTCTTAGAGGAGAGGGGTGTTGTTGGTTATCTGCTATTATCATTATGACATGTGTGGTTTGGGTAACATGTGGTATTCATTGCTGTTACTTAAAATACTCCAACCCTGATCAATATATTTTTTAATTAATGAACCCGAGCCAAAACATAAAATAAAAATAATTAACTTCAGAATATGTTTTTACCAGGGCTTGAAACAGAAAAAAACTTTTATTTTAAAAAAGTTTTGGTTTCATTGGAATTTTTATGGTTGATAGTTTGTCAGTTCTTGTGGAGCTAGAACTTTTTCCCTTGCAACTTTTCAAGTACAGGTTTTACTTAACTTTAGAAGAGCAATCACTGTTAATTTTTCATTTAACAGAACTAAAAGCTTGAATAAATAAAAGTTACACTTTTACTATAAACGTATAACTTTATTATAAAAACATTCCTTAGAACTCTTATCCTAAAAGTTCCACAAAAACTGTTAAAATGGAACTGTTTTCCTACAACGTTCACAGAAACTGTTAAAATGGAACTTTTAACAACCTTCTACAGCACCTTGCAGAAGATGGAAGAAGGATATATAACTCAGCATGGCGATAAATAATTTACTTTAAAATCAAGAAGAGAAAAATACTGGTTGACAGGCACAAAAGACATTATTCAGAGTTCAGAGAGCACAGATCCTTTATAGACTTTTGCAACTAATCAATCAATTGACTTTTGAAACTAATAAATAACATAAATTAAATAATTTGTTATCAAATTGGAATCTTTGTAAGGACAACAGAGGAGATATGAAATAATGAACTATTGAATTATTTATTAAAAGTGGAATCTTAAAATAAATTTGTTTAGCAGTCAATATTTATGCTATCAGAAATAAAATTATAAAACTAAGAAATGAAATGAAATAATTAAATAGATTATAATTTATGTTAAACTTCTGTGAAATAGGAATCATTTCAGAATGTTTCATCATAATTGAATCCTTCAAGAGCTTAATGAAAAGCACTTATACAGAAAGAAATGAGCTGGTGGTTCAACTCATGAGTAAACTACTTAGCACTAAACCGATATATAAACTGGTTAAAATAAGTGATAAGGCGTGGTATAATGTAAACCAATTTTTTTTTTTTTTAAATGGCACTTAACCCAAAATAAATATGAAATGTAGAGAGCGGGGTAGCTCAGTGAATGAGCACTTACTTCCAGAGCTCAAGGTCCCTGGTTCGAATCCTAGTAATTTTTCATCCCTTAGCTCAAACTCAGCCTCTATAAAGTGGGTACTCTTAATTACATAATTAATTCAGGTGAAAAAGCTGGTAGTTGAGCATGATATTGGCCCGTGACCTCCCTGCACAACTGTTGGCCTTGTAACAGTACTTCCTTACATTGTAATGAACCCAAGACCCTTCATGGGTTGTTAGTGGTACATGGAGGAAATATTAAATGTATATCAGAATACTCCCTCACAGAAGATAACCGCACAAAGTTCAAGGGGTAAATTTATGGGTGCTGCAGAAGTAAATAAAAATAACAGTGATACTAGCATACACAATTTTAACTTAAAAAACAGTATAAATGTCTATTGATCTAAGAACCACTCCGACATGAACCCTTTCACTATATTTTTGTAGGTTTCCATTGCTATGCTGTAACTATTATTCTTGTTACATATTAAAAAGTTAAATGATCTCTTGACCACTTCACTAGAAGAAATCCAAACTGATTCCTGAATGGTGCCACTTGGATATAATAGTAAATGTTTTTAAAAATAAATTACAATAGGAAATTCTTTTTGAATAACATATTTAGAAAACAAAGAAGTAAATGAAGTAATCATAGTATAGATTAGCAATAGCAGATTATAGTTTAGATTACTGTCTAAAAGTTACTATTGTTGCAAAAGTATAATACTGAAAAGGGATATCTATTTTACTTTCTCTAAGTGGTTAAATTGCGGATAGAAACACAAAATAGTATTACATCTTAGAAGTAAATTATTCATAACAAAAATGTTCTCACCAAAACTAAGTTACCAACATATTCAAATGCACAATGTCCTATACATCCACACTGAACTGCAACTTTAATTATTCTCCCAAACAAAAATATATACTGTTTGAAATTTCCCATACGTGTAAAAAAAAAACCCTAATGTAAAAGTACAACATGAAGTTTAAGAAAACCAAAATAAATATCAATCAACTCGCCAGTATAAACAATGTTTAATTCACTTGTTAATATCTAAATATATATATATATATATATATATATATATATTTATATTTATATATATTTGTATATATTCATGTATACGTTTGTTTGTGTAAAAGGAATAGTGAGATAAAAAATAAATAAGCAAATTCATTTTATTAATTTTAATAGAAAATTCCTTAATTAACTTTAGGAATTGTTAAATTAAGTACTAATTGATCTAATTTTTGGAGTATAACGTAAATTATTTTCGTCCAAAGAGCAACTAAGGATGGGAGGATTCAAAAATGTTGTGGCAAGTAAGTATGTCGTATGTTTTTGTTTTTATTGATGGATGTATTATTATTTATACTGATTGCTATTAAGTTTTTCTATGACTTTTTCAATGTCTAGCATTGTATTAAGCGGAATTTTTAAGTCCAGTTTGTTTTCCGAATCATCACAAAAGTTGTCCCAGTCTACTCGTCCTGTAATCAAAGTAGGAAGGGAGGAGGGCTTAGGAGTGAAGGTTGAGTGGAACGAAAGCAGTACTAAAACGTATGTTACATTAAATTTTGGTAAATTCATAACATTCACCTCACCTTATTCATTTAAGAGGTAATATAGTTTTTTAAGTATTAAGGGGGAGAGGTCTTCTAGTTCTTGACCTAGCTCATGGTAGAGGTCTTTCCTCGAAAGGGTTGTTCATTGCATGTCCTTGGTATTTGTTTTGTACTTGTGACCCAGAGAAGTCATCTTCCTGGATAGATAACACGACTACCGAATTAGGTCTGACGTGTTCCTTTGCTTCAGTGACGATAGGTGTCATCCGATTTATATCTACCTCCTTGTCATACACGGTGGAATTTCTGTTGCTCCCAATAGGAGCAAGATATCTGGTCGACAACGTTATTTCCCTTCCTTCGTCTGGATAGCGAATATGAGCATATTCAGCATTACCATCCAAGAGGATTACTTCCTCTACAAGAGGATCAGATTTAGAATGACGAATAAACTTGTTTTATGAAAACAGGTTCAGAGTTCACAAGCCACCTGTGAAGTGATTCTCCATTCTTCGTACGTCTGAGATGATTGAACATCCTTTCATGCGGGATCTCATTAGTTGCTATACACAACAGAGAACGCACAGAATTTAGAGCCTCAGGTAAAACCGATTCCCATTTAGTTACAGAAAAGCGTTTAGACTTGAACGCAAGTAGTCTTCCAGATAATTCCGTTTTACTTTTCAACTTGGCCGTTACATTGTGGATTGTAAGGAGCTTTTAATTCTGAGAAATGTTTTTAATTCTGAAATCAGCGATGTGCCTGTATCTGAATGGATGTACGCAGGAGCGCCAAACAAGTAGAACAATTGAGTTAGAGCAGCGATCGCAGAAGAGGACGTCATGTCTCAGTAAAGAAAATCAGAGAATCAGGAGTACTTATCTATAATCACTAGAAGGTTATTGTTTCCGTTAGAATTTGGGAGAGTTCCTTTGAAATCTATGTTTAGGGGTTCGAATTAATTTCCCTTTATTGAAGAGTCGAGGCTTTATCTCAGAACCCCTTTTTTCCCTTGAGGTGATCAAAAGAGTAACCTCATCATGTGATATAAGTAAATTCTTAATACGCAACCAATGATATATCCTCATGATTCCAGGATGACACAAAGAAACATGTTATTGAAATTCGGCTTGCAGAATCATCTATACTTGAAAAAAATCGAGAAAGTGCATCAGCTGCTGCATTTTCTTTGCCTGGTCTACATACAATATCTTAATGGAGCAGGATAGCTTCATGCGCCATCTTAATTTTTTTTTTCATTTTTTATTTTCCCATCATGCTTGGAATCGAATATAAAAGCTACTGAAAGCAGGTCCGTGATAAAATGGAAATGTCTTTCTAGTAGATAGCTTCGCTATTTCCGGATTGCTTCTACTATGGCATAGGCTTCCTTTTTCTACAGATAAGTGCTTTTGTTCAGGACTGATAAAGCTCTAGAAAAAAATGCTACAGGAAGGTCTCCTTGCGTAAGAGTGGCAGCAATAGAATCGTCTAAAGCGTTGGTTTCCATGGTGAATGGGGCATCGTCGTTAATTGGAGTCAATGAAGCATTTTCAATTTCCCGTTTGAGATTTTGAATGCACGTAATGCGTCTAGGGATAAGGGAAACGTATAGCGTGTTAGAGGTAGTATTTTCTTAGAAAATTCTTTTATGTAAGTCGAGTAATGGGCGAAAATACCAATGGCTCTCCTCAATGAAGACTTGTCCGTTGGAGGTTGCATATCTTGGAGAGGTTTTATCCAATTGGGGTCAGGTTGAATGCTCCTGTTACTCATTACATATCCAAGGAGCTTGATAGATCTTAAAGAATACTTAGAATAGATTGTGCTTTTGAGCATCATCCACTAATGTTTACAGATTTTCGTCATGTTATCTTTGATCTCTTCCACAAACAGTGACATCGTCAATATATGCTAACGTAACCTTCAAGCCATTGGTTACCCCAAGTGGAATGTTTTTGCCATTATAGCCGACCACACACTTCTAAAGCAGTTTAGGGCTTATCTTCGTCTTTTATAGGAATTAGTTACTTAAGCATTACGTAGGTCGATGGTACTAAATACTTCATAATGGGCGATCTTATTAACTAAGGATTCTATTTGAGGAAATGGGTATGCGTCCAGGAGGGTATAAGAGTTTATATTGCTTGAGTAATCATTCGCCATGCGTGTTTTATGATTGTTGCTTGAGGTAACGACCTCTCCAAGGATATATAAATGTTTCTCATTGAATGGCTTAATCATTAGGTTTAACGAAGATGCGGATTTTTCACTAATGAAACTGACATAGCTTCCAGTGTCAATCAGCACACTAACCTCTGAACCATTAACAACAACTCAACTTAAAGAAAAGTTGTAAATTTATATATATAAGTTATGGTTAGATGTAAGACTGTATAATAGTTAACTCTATCCATGAGTTGTAAACAAATCATAATACTATATATATAGCATTACTGAGGAAATAAAGTCAGTCTTTATCGAGCAACCAAGCATTTCATTTCGGATCCTTTCTTTCTTTTTTTTTATTATTTCCTGTTCGGACTGTAGTAAGTGGTGTCGAAACCCGGGACCTTTAGATTTAGTCGAGGAGATAGTTTTTTTTCTTCCTGCCTCTCTTCTTATTCACGTCACGAGAAATAATAAAGAGGAAGGATGCCGAACGGAATACCGCCACCGGCTGCAACGTTGGCTCCACCGCCGACGTTTCCTCCGCTGTCAGAAGCGTTAGCGAGGGATTTTCCTCCGCTACCTACAGAAACGTTAGCATCAGCACATGCGGCTAAGTTGGAATGGCTGAAGGTGAGAACGGCGACATCGCAGGACCTTAAGAGAGCGATATCCGATTTGGAAAGATTTGACGGAGTAGGGGAGTAGGGGAGTTGAATCACTTCCTAAAGGGAGGCGATCGGGTGATATCGCGTATATTGGCTAAGGAAGGGGAAAATTTAATAGACCCGATGGATGACAACGCATTGAGGGCAGCTTTGGTAAACCGGGTTAAGAGGAGCGTGCTGAACATGATTCAGGCGGATGAAGACACCCATGGAACATTGTGAAGGATAGGCTGAAGAAGGCATTTGGAGGAGGCCGATGGGCTCCAGTAGAGGACATTTTGCAAATGTTTCGGGAAAAGAAACAGCCTTATCAGACCAACGGACAATATGCTGCAAATCTGTTGACACGGTTTAATAGTATAACCGAGAAGACGAGGGAAGTAGCTGATGCGGCTGAAACAGGAGCCAGGATGGCGTTCTTGTCAACCATCCTTAAAGTTCAGCTGGGTAGAGATACGGGAAAGAAGGATGGACTACCTAGGGACAAGAGTTTTGTGGAGTGTGCCCAGGAGATGATCGATGCAAGCGCCCGGGATGAAGAAGCAGCCCGTGGTGACGAGGAGAATGAGAATGGGTGGAACAGAGTCTCTTATAGGAGAGCAGAAACTGGGAGGTTCAAAGCGAGACTGGAGGGGTGGAGGAAAAGAGGAGGAGAAGTTAGTACAAGAGAAAGGACGGCAATGAGGGAGAAAAAGTCAGGCAAAGAAAGAAAGAAATGGACAAAGGACGACAGGAGATGCCACGGGTGCGGAAAGATAGGTCACCTAGTGGCGAATTGCCCGCGAACCCGATGTTTCGAATGCGGAAATGAAGGCCACATCGCGAGACAATGTCCATATATGAGTAGACGCGGAGACATAGGGCGAGATGAGCCAATGGAAGTGAACGCACAGAGATTTTGGAGAAAGAGAGGTGCAGCATCGGAGTCAGACGATTCATCGGGAACATCTGGATCCGAAGAAGAGGAGACGATAGTAAAAGGAGCGCGAGGAGGCAGAATTAGCAGGAGGAGCGGAGAAGGAGGAGCAGCTGCAGAAAGGAAAGGAAGAACGCACGAATGAGGAGAGGGGCAGAGGAGCGGCAACCACGCGGTAATAAATAATATTGGAGGTGAGTGCGTTGGTTTGCCAATTATAAGTGTTGTGGGGAGGGGAAAGTGTTTGGTGGATACGGGAAGTTCTAGTACAATACTATCTAGATAGATGTTGGAGGAGTTGTGTAAAGGAGAGAGGATACCGAAAATAAAAATCTTTAAGTGCAAGTTGATTACTTTGGGTGGTCCTTGTAGGGTGGAAGGGAAAGTAGAATTAGATTTGGACAGATGGGTGACCGGAAGCGGGAAGTTGAGGGTTCACGTAGTGGAGAACCTGCCGAGGGAGTACGGGGGTATAATAGGATGTGACTTATTAAGTAGAGTAAGACCTAGAATAGACTACAGGATTACGGGTTGGATTGTTCGAATGGGAGGGAAGAGGTACCGGTGTAAGAAATTGAGAGTGGAAGGAAAAGGGAACATTGGGGCAATAGAACAAGTGGAACATTGGG